ATTTTTTTAAAAAAAAAAAAAAAAAAAAAAAACCACAAAAAACAAAAAAGACCACAAGGTGGCTTCAGTGACTGAATACCCCCAGCCCCTGCAGGAAATCCGATGAACTCCAAATTGTATCTGTGGTCTCCAAGGGGGAGGGGGGCGGTTGTCCTGTTTGCTGGCTTGTTTCCTGGTCTATGTGAACAGTCAGCTGGACACTCAGGGAAGACCTCTGGGGAGCCCCAACCCCCAAGAACTCATCCTATAATGTAGCAGTAAAGCTGAACTCAAAAATTAATGTGATTTATTGCAGTGGATGATCTTTTCAGAGAAGCAAATATCGAACCAAATGGCAAAGTGAAGTATGATGAATTTATCCACAAGATCGCCATTCCAGTGCCCGACTACTGAATGAAGAGAGTACAAGGGAGCTTCCCTTGGGCCTGACAGATCGGACAGATGAATTTTTAAAAAGAAAAGTGTTCCTTTCACTCTAGGGAGACAGTACAGTGGCAAGTGATGCTACCTGACTGTAGGAGAGGGTAACTTAACAATGAAAATAATGATTTTGGCCATGGTATCAGCATACTTTAATAAAAGATTTTTGTTAATTTTAATAACTGCCATTAGTCCAGCCCTTTACAGCACAGGAAGAGGCTGTGGTTTGGAGACTGGCCTGGGTTCCAATCCTGACTCTGCCATTTCCCAGCTGACTTTGGGCCAATCATTTCACCCCTCAAAGCCTCAGGATCTTCACTGAAGTTAGATTCCTGTTTCTTACCTCATGGAGCCTGTTGAGAATGGTCTGAGTCAATGACTTGAAAATGTCTTTGCAAACTGTAGAGCACTGTGCAATCCTGGGTTACCATGGTAGTCCTTCTGCTAAGGAGGGCAATCAACCAAAAGGCCATGTTCTATATTTGGGTGCGGGCACCATCTTCCACATTTCCCACACAAAACCAGTGCTAGCTGAGAAATAGCAACAAGCAGAGCTAAAACAAGCAAACAAAAAACTCTCAACATTTCTTGCAACACCAAAGGGCCACTTACAGATTCTCATTCCCACCTCAACACAGTGACACAGTTCAGGAGATTCACTTGTAAACAGAGTATAGGGTGGAAATAGTCCCAGTGAAACAAGGCAGCTAAGCAGCGGGAAGAGTGATCTTACAGCCCACACCAGAGGAAACCAGATGTGACACAGGTCTTGCAGAGCTTCGAAGGCCTTTCTGATGCTCCTGTCAGAACGTCCAGCTCTCCCCTGGCCTGTTATCAGGGAGATTCACAAGACTGGGACGGGTCTGCCCAAGTGGGTCAAACCGATCATGGCTTCAAGCCATTTCCCCGTGACTAACAGAAAGTAGTAAGGGGTGTAACAGGCCACGGCCGCGATATGAGAAACAGCAGCAGGGGTACCGGCCCTGCCGGGGGCAACGCCAGGTCAAGTAGCTGAGTCATGTAGCCAGGAGGTGCCAGGCTGGTGCCTGTGTGCTCATCAAATTTGTGGATCCATTGGTAGTGTCAGCACTGCCCTAAAAAGGGTTGGAGTCACACACTGGCATGTTGGGGGCTGGGGGGGTGTAGAGCTCCAAGTACAGAGATTTTCATCCTTATATGTATCAAAATTGGGCTCTCTGGGCTGTGGCTTTGTCTAATGGTGCTTAGTGGCTAAAGAGAAAAAGAAAAAAAAACCAAACTGAGGGAGGTATTTCTTTTGGGAGATTATACAAGACAAAAATTTAAGGGCCAGACACAAGGGAAACTGCAGGGGACGAGTCAGTTAGACTTAGTGCAATTATCTCACAACAGTGTAATTGCCAATGAGGGTAGAAATTCCTAGGAGCTGTAGAGACGGGTTTTGTGGAGGACAGGCAATAAATGGCCCAGACAACAAAGTAGGTGGAGTTGTGATCATCTAGCCGGGGGAGCATAGGTTCACTCTGTGCAGGGGCAGAACCAGGTTTTGTGGGGTCTGGGGTTGTATGATTTGGCAGCCTTTCAAGAATATAAAAATAGAAATAGACTTGGTAGGACTACTCCCAGGACCCTAGAAGAGGCCAAAGCAAATGAGGAGCCCAGGTGCTGAAACTTCGTTACTTTCATGGTCAATCCCCTTGAGGGCTTTTAGATGTTGGCACCCCATAGAGAACTGCTTTATTTCACTTTCAGGCAAGGCTCAAGGGTCTCTAACTGATCGTGGACATTAGGAAGCAAATTCTGCACAGCCCATCTGGAATACCCCAGATTAAACAGTAGATACTTATGATTTAGATGGGACAGGACAAGAAGTTCTGGGGTAATAAATGAGGGTTTTCCCTTAAAGCCTTTTCGTCTTTATCACTGAATGGCCCAGCGTATGGTTGTTTTTTTAAATCCTCACCCAAGGATGTTTTTTAGAGGAAGCGAAACATCCACTGGTTGCCTCCTGTATGCATCCTGACCTGGTATCGAACCCACAATCTTTTTATGTACAGGATGACGCTCTAACCAACTAAGCCACCCAGCCAGGCCCAAGTATGGTTTTAAAGTGATTTGCCTAACAGGAATCTGAAATACAGCTTGCCAAAAACACATTAAGTGTTGTAGTCATTAGAACCTTGGCTCATCTCTTCGGACTTGGTATCCCTAATTAAGGGTGTTCAGTGGCTAGGATTCTAAAATCCCTTCTGATCTAAACCTCTACCCCAGAAGGCTTTTAAACCACCCCATGTCCAGGTTTTATGCTCATTCCTGAAATTCCAGTTGGTTTACCTAGCACCTAGTATTGTCTACAAAAGAGGCAAGAGTGCTCTTAGCTCTCAAATTGCAGACTATTAAACAGATTTAAAACTAAACAGAAGCTGTGGTTTGTTGCAAAGCTAGCCATACTTCAATAAGGGGAATGAGGGCTGTACATTCATTACTTACCTCAAAGCATGTTGCAAAAGAATTACTTGTCATGCTTTGAAATCTCTGGATGAAAGGTGCTTTGGAAGCACAAAGCTTATCGCCTTTCTCTTAGAGATTGTCCCCTTGTATACCCAGCAGTGTATTTTACAGAACACAAATTAACTGAAGGCTTTTCTTTTATTACATCTAAAGAGCTCTACATAAACAGGTAACATTCAATAGGTAAACAATTTTTTTCCAATGCATGTAATAAATATCTTCACTTGGTACTTTTATACAAACTGACATTGGTCTACTATACATTTTTAAAAGCCATTTTACTGGTTTGGCATGCGGTATGGAAATTCTAAGAGAGAAAGTCTTAAGGCAATGAATCACAGATTTAAGTTTATGGAATTTATAACTTTTATATCTGTTTATATACATTTTCCCCTTTGTTAATTAAACAATTAACAGCAGCACACTCTGGGACCACCAGCTATTCTCCCTCCCTCTTTCTGAAATCAAAGTTTTGTGGTGGTGGTGTTTTTAATTAAAAAACAAAATTCAACATGTATCGAAAAAGGAAAATTCTTAACTGAAATAATTTCAAATGTGCTCTAAAGTCCTGAAGATCTTGAAGTGTTTTATGTATTAACAACTGGAACTGTTTAAAAACAATGTTCCTTCAACAATTAGAAATTAAAATTGGGATATATTTTCATTCAGTTTCAGACATTTGACTCAAAGGAAAATCTGCCAAGATATCATATTTTTCAAAAGCTTAAGTGAATCTTTCCTAAGTTGGTAACGATACAGGGCTGTGATGATGTCTAAATTAATATAGAAAAATTTTAATGTTCAAAATAAATTAGTCAACCAAGTGTGGCATGGTTAAAGTTCAGATTGCTTTAAAAAGGTGTGTCCAATAATGCCCACAAAAATAACTAAAAGCCACTTCAACCCTGCTAGTCAAACAGCTACTTCACCAAATATGTGATACACACACATACAGTACTGTACAGAAACACAAACATATGCCACCTATTATGAAAGACGGAGGCAAGGGGGACGGTGACAACTCGCCTCAAGATTCTGAGTCAATGGGTATTTGTCCACAACCAGCATGTCAGTGTTGTCATGGGTGGGGGAGTGAGGGGGGCCTAAGGAAAACAGAGATGAAATGACTATGTGCTTTAAAAAAAAAACCACTTAGAAGATAAAGATGCAGTTCATGACTCTCCTAATAGTTACTACAGATCACAAAAGTCTAATAATATCGGCCATGAGAACAACAGTAATAGCTACTACTAATGCCAACATTTTGAACCGAAGGGAACAAACTCCTTTAGAATAGAAGGAACTAAAATAAAGACATAAATGAATGGTTAGCTTCTCCTGTCGAGACATGACCAAAGCCACTAACTAAACAGACATTTACTTCTCCCTATCACCCATTCTTCTCGTGGGTTGGTAAAATGCAGGACACTAAGGGGAAATGAATCCTCCCCAAAACTGGGCTGAAGAGAGTCGAGGGATGGGTTTTCAACTGGATTATTCAAAGAGTTTATAATTCAACATCCTACACAAAGCTATTGATCAGAATTGAGACCACTAACACCAATGACAGAAAAAGAAAAAAACAAATAAAACTATTCATTTTACCTTATGTAGTTCAATAAAAATGTTCCCTATTGCAATGTGAAATAAAAAGCAATTCCCCATAATTTAAGTAATTTCTATCCCAATCCAAATTTAGACACAAATTATGATACTATTAGATATCATAATAGTTTTACGGCATCTACAGATATTAGCCTAAGTTAATATGGCAATGCGAATTCTTAAAGTATTTACTCACCATAACACCAGATTCATTTTAATACTTAACTATTTCCTGTTTTAATCAAAAAAATCTTTTTTTATTGCGAATTGTTTAGTGACTAACTCAGCCATGTATGTGTGGAATACACATGCGTTGGGGAAGACTATATTTGTCACTCGCACACACTTGTCTATAAATACATATATACACACACACATATACATATCAACACCAACTTTTCAAAATTCAAGTCAACAATTTAGTGGCAGAGAGATGCTGTAAGAAACATAGTATTTTTAGATGCCACATAGTCATGTGAACCATAATTTTATCATACAACCAAAGATACAGCCATCTTGAAGCCTACCTGGATTATAGTAGGTCATTTTGTTACCACTGCAAGGTTTAAAACAACAATTTTATACACAAAGGTGGTCGGTCCTTCATCAGCTCTGAGAACATTAACAGTTGTGATACAAAAGCCTAGTCTGGGTAACTGGTCATCGTGATGCCCCTTCTTTATTTTTTCTGTTTAATCTGCTAAACCTCTCAATCAGCTAAAAAATATTTCCCATACCTTCAGTCATTACCTGGAAAACGCAACCACTTTCTCTGAAGAGGATTGTGGAATACAAGTAGAACCACTTTTCCTTCCCTCCAACCCTCATTCATCTCCTGAAAACAGTTTTCATTATATTTACATGTTCCATTATTAAAAACAGATTAGACTGATCCATGAATTCTAAAAAAAACCAACCTGACTTTCCTATGTCATGTTTGTCTTTTAAAAGGTGTAAAAAGTAAAGCAAACAAGATAGCTTAGAAAATAAGTACACTCAGAACCAGTAAGAATCAAGCCTATTTTGAATTTCAGCTGTTGATCAGATAGCAGATTTCTACAGACTGACATGTGTGGTGCATTGCACTGTCAGAAGAGAATATACTTTTGGGATAATTGACTTTCTTTCTTTTTTTGAGGTGATGTAATCTTACCTCCATCAGCTGCACAAGACACCCAACAGGGCTTTCTAAGTTATATTTACTTCCTACTTTGGTATGAAGATCTTACATGAAGACTTGTTACCCTGTAGCTAAAAAAGCAGGTGTTCACAGACTTGGTTTAAGTATATAATACTGGCATTCCAAGTTTAGAATAAAGAACTAAAGTGTATTATTCACAGGTCTGCTAAGCCTACTCCTTACCCAGACAGCTTTACTCCAATCTCTAAAAACATATTCTCAGGGGGATCTAGCAAATAAGGGAGAATCTGTGATGGAGAACATGCAATTAG